CTGGATCTCCACGTCCATTATATAAATTAAGTTTTGGCGTTTTAGACCCTTTCAGCTTTCTGGATAGCCCATCTCGCCCTTCTTTTCCTGTGAACTTTTCATTTTCAACATGAGGCTCATTCCGAAGGCTTTGATTGTATGAGTCAGGAACTTTGTGGGCAACCTCTGAGGGGTAATATTAGGCATCATGGACTTTCAGTGGATGTTCATTGTCGGATCTATAAAGGGAAGATTGTTGAGAGTTGTGATCATGGGGATAGTGGATATGACAGGAGGGCAATTTTGGGGAGAGGTAATTGGAGGATGAGTGATGGAGCTACTAGGGTGGTTGGGAAAGCTGTGATAAGTGGGTGGATCTGGAGAGTATGAGGGATCATATGGCACTATGGCCGGAGTTTGGGTAAGGGTAGCATCTAAGAAGCTAGGTGGTGGCGGGGGTGGTGCCTTCCCAGTCATCCAAGCTTGATACATGTCCGCAATGTGTTGTCTTAACATCCTCACATCTTCAACCAACACATTGCCCTGTTCAACCAATTGCTTTTGGGCACCAGTATCAACCAACTCAGTTCTATTGTCATCTGTCATTGCCTTTCAACTTTATGTTATAAAGAAAAGTTACCACTTTAAGAACCACAAACCAACCACCCTTCTGCTTTATAATAAAATGAGGTCATCACGTTAGCGTTAAGGCATTTAACAGCTAAAATATCACATTATGTGCAATGCATCTAGTCATAGTTATCGGTTCTAACATGACTTCGAGGATATGAAGCTCATATGGCATCATCCCAATTTATTCATTTCAATCTTCTTTTTCTTTTCTTTTCCGGCACTTCTTGGCTTGCTCATTTTCCTTCCTTCCTTTTTCTTACTGATTATCGCTCTTTTCCTTCCTCTCATTTCTCACGTCCCACAACTTTATCCTTTTTTTTCTTTTCTTTTTTTTTCTTTTTCTTTTAATAAAATAAAAATAATAATTCGATCGAACCCTATGTAGGTTGCCTACATATCATGACGCTGCATGAATCAGATCTTTGCGTAGTTCGGGAAGATTGGGAATAAAGTAAACAAACTAATCTTCTCATTTTCTTTTTCTTTTATTTTTTGATTACTCTGACGAGAAAAAGGAAATAATTTTTTTTTTTAATTTCCTAGACTTAATGTTCTATAACCTATTCTAAACTTGAGCATATTTTTTTCTTCTTTTTTTTTTGACACAACTACTCTATGGGTAATTATTAAGGAAAAAAACCCTAGAAGATAAAAATATATTTTTTTTGCCTCTTTTTTTTTAAGAAGGAAATCTATGGAATAAAACAAAGAAAAATATTTTGAATTTTCATTTGATATGCCTGAAGAAAGATTTCGAAACAAGAAATGAAAAATATAAAAAAAAAAAAGTTTTTGGATTTTAGTTTTTGATTACCTAAGGGATAAACTCTGAAGATAAACACAAGATGAAGTATGTTTTTTTTTTCTTCTTCTATGTATAATAACCTGAAGTTCTAGTGACAATAAAAAGAATATATTTTTTTTTATATTTCCCAATGAAGAACCTTAAGAGAAAATCTTTTTGAATTTTTGGAATTAATACCTTGAAGAAAACTTTTTAAAGAGGTACTAAAAGAAAATTCCTTTTTTTTTAAAATTTTTAGCCCTAATATACTAGAGGAAATATAAAAATAATTAAATTTCTAAAGGAAAAACCACCTCAAAATTTTCCAATTTCTAGGAGTAGTATTTCTAAAGAAAACTCTAACGGAAATATAAAAACGCAAAATATCTTTTTTTTTTGGATTTTTGATTGATAATACATTTTTCAAATACAAAATAGGAAATAATAACAAAAGACTCGACAAACTTAACTAGATTATGACGTACCTAGCATCAACTAAATGACTGAATACTACTGTACAGGACTAGAAAGTAAAACATGAACAATAGACTCAAAAAAAAACTCCTCAGGCAGCTCCTGAATGCAGTGGTCTTGGGGTATCTGTCATGCTCAAACTCCGGTAAGTAGATCCACACCTGTATGAGAAAACTAAAGCTAAATAGAGTTAAGGATTTAGAACACTATGTGAGACAATAACACTCCATGTTGGATACATGCAAGACATGATTGTGCAAAATAGCCTACGTGGCCAAAAGGCGGCTAGAAGCGCAAACTCAACAAAGGTGACCTCTAAGACATGGAAGAATTACTTTTGCAGAAATGACCGATTTTGTCGAAATGGCCAATGTGGCCAAAAAATGGCTAAACATGCAAATTCAACAGAATGGACCTTAAACAGAGAGAACAACTTGTTGTGGACTTAGAACTCTAAAGCATGGGTTAATTGAACCACTTTTGCGAAAATAACCCTACTTTGCAAAACGGCCAATGTGGCCAAAAGCGACTGGACATGCAATTTTGACAAGGACGGACCTCTAAAGTAAAGAGACACCTAATTGTGGATTCAAGACTCTCCAGACAATTAAACAAACCACTTTGCGAAAATAGTCATATTTTGCAGAATGACCGATGTGGCCAATAAGTGGCTAGACATGCAAGATTTGGCTACGATCATGCGAAGCCAAGAACCTAAGACTTACTAGGAAGACCGGACCCTATGTGGGTTGCCTACGTATCACGCCCCGAAAGACGAGAATCGGGTATGCGTAGTTCGGGAAGATTTGATACGGGCGAGAATTTAAATAAAAAATAACTAATTTAGAGAAAAATATATTTTCTTTTTCTTGAAAAATGATGAAACATGTAAACTCTTTTTGGATTTTCTTTTTCCTCTTTTTTTTATTTTTGATTTTTTTTTTTTTGATAGGAAAGTGCAAAATCTTTTTGGATTTTTCATGTTTTTTTTCTTAACAAACATGTGACAGAAAATATAATTGGGCCCTACTTGCTTTATTTTCACACTTCACCCTCTCTTTTTTTTTCCATTTGCCCTCAACTATCATTGGTCCATCAAATGACCATTTTACCCTTGAAAAAATGCAACATGTAGCACATAGGATGCATCAAGATGGTCTGTTATTTTGCGTATACTTGTCCTAGACGGACCCAACCCCTGTGTTGAGTCCCCTAAGTCAAATGCACGTGATGCAACAAACGTTCCTACTAGGGATCCGGCATGAGGCTATGTTATTCTAGGTTTTAAAAACCTGGGTTTATTTGTTCTAGACCTGGCTTACCCGAGCGGACAGCTCGAGCCGAGGGGGGCAGCGTACCGGGAATACAGAAGCTTCACCGGCTTTGCAACTTGTCCGAACCTCGTTCTAAAATTGGGATATGACTCTAACAGAAAAGAAGTTACACAAAGCGCACACTTCCCAGATGATTTAGAAGACTCAGAGAGAAGAGGGCTTCGTAACAATTTATATACAGTTCAGCCAATATCAAAGCGGTAAAAAGCGACAATTAGCACATTAGGCTCAAACATATGAACAAAATCAGATAATAAATATAGCCAAATATAACAATTATTCTAAGCTCGAATTCTTGAACCCTGACCGGAGATTCTGGGTTCTTATCCCCAGCAGAGTCGCCAGAGCTGTCACACCTCCTTTTTCCTACCCCCGAAAGGGTGTAAGGGAGTTTTTTTCAACTTAAGTGACAATCGAAACGGGATTATTTATTTAAAATTCAGAGTCGCCACTTGGGATAATTTATGCTGTCCCAAGTCACCGGTTTAAATCGCGAATCGAGGAAAGATTGACTCTGTTTTATAGTCCGCGAACACTGAAATCCGGGTAAGGAATTCTGTTAATCCGGGATAAGGTGTTAGGCATTCCCGAGTTCCGTAGTTTTAGCACGGTCGCTCAACTATTATTATTGGCCTAATTATCTGATTTTTTTACACGTTTTAAACATATTGTGTATTTTTAACTTTTTAGCCGCTTTTAATATTTCGGAAAAAATTCAAGGTTATTTAAAACACATTGTAAGCCATGCTACATGAATGCACCCGTGGTTCACGACACGTTCTATTTAACCTTGTTGGAAATTGAAGTCGGGTCACATGAAATGCACACCCGGACTTTAGAAATTACAAATCATAACTACGTCACGGGAACCGTACCTGTAACTATAATAATTTAGTAAATCATTTCTTGGCATGATTGAAGATTACACGCGCAACCCTCAAAGACGATTTTCACGTCTATATATTGAGAAGACAATGAATCATTTAAAGAGAGAAATAACTTTAATCCAAAGAAGTGATTACTAGCCAAACGAATCTGAGGCATCATTTTCTCAAATAAATGGGAACAAACTAAAAATAGTCTACGAAAAATGGTTCATTTGCATGGTCTACAGACAAATAGATATATGGTCACATTCCATTCACACTGATATAAAAAAAATAACTTAATTAATAGTAAGCTACCAACACAAGGAGAAAGATGGAACCATGCATTGCATTCTTTAATTGGCTACCAAGCAAGAGATTGACTGATATTTTAACACACTTTTATTATATAGCCAAATTTCCTGGCAAAGTAAGAAAACAGAATCCAAGTTACTGACATATCTCCTTGGGTGAAATGGTATATCAAGGCCTCCCGTAACTTCAATAGCCACAACCACACCGGAAAAGAAAATTCGAACAGAACCGGCGACTCGTCCTCAAACGGAAAGCCTCGCCGGAAATCTCCAACCTCGGAACGAGCAACAAACGAACGGAGCTTTGGACAGATTTAACAAACGAGCTCCTTAAGAGACTCAAACCTACTAAACTCACGCAGCGAACTGGGAGAAAACAAAAATGGCAATAGCTGTAGTCTGAGATAGAAACCTCGCCGGAAAAACCTCGCCGAAGTTTGAACGGAGACCTCACTTAACATTGATTGTATTTGAATGTTTTGGACTGTTTAGGGGGTGGTCTTCAGTCATTTTTGCGCGGAGTTTAAGGTGTTACAAACCCGTTCCTTTCCCCTCTGTTCCCGCTTCGTTCCCGTCCCCGTTTTCCTTTTGTGTGCGTCGATAGAGCTCGCTGGAGATGGCAGACGTGGAGGAAGGTGGTGTAGGGTCGGCTGGATATGGGGTTCGCGTGTGTGATGGCTTTGGGTTGAAGGGGAGATGGTTCCTTCTCTTTTGTGTGTTAGCTTGAAGAAGGAGATGATTAGGGTGTGTTTTTATGTTTGAAAATGGCTGCTTCCCTTAAGTCTTCATGAAGAAGACGATAAGGTTCAGGGGGGGTTGGGGGGCTTGTGTATTGCGGTGCTCTTCTTTGTTAGGTTAGCCGGTTTCGGGTCCTCCCTATGTGTATAGATTTCCTAAGGTCTGTTGTTGTTGAAAAATGGAGAAGACGATCAAAAAGTTGGGGATCCGATTCTTTTTTTTTTTTTTTCTTGCGGCGCCCCCCTCCCTAGGTCTCTTATAGGTCTTGTTATATTAGGTTAATTAAGAAGAATAAGGGTTTGGGTGTTGGGTCGGGTCGAGTCGACCCGGTTTGGGCTGGGTTGGGGGAAAATTTGGGCTTCTAAATTGTGTGGCCCAATTCAATTTAAAATCAGCCTTTTCCAATTTCCTTTCCTCTTTTTGTTTTCTTTTCTTTCTTTAATTAATTTTTTTTGAAAAAAACTAAATTAAATTCCTAAATTAATTCAAATTGTAAAATTAAGCTAATTATCTAACCGTAATATTTATAAAAATTATTTGATCCTAAATTAAAAGAGAAAACTTAATAATCCAAAATTTAAAGCTAAGAATGTAAAAATGAGTCATTTTGTGATTTTTCTTTTTAATAAAGCAACTAATTAATTAATTAATCCTAAAATGTGAACAAAAATCTAAATGCAATGTATGGTATTTTTTGGTATTTTTCATGATTTTAATAAAAGTAAACATGCAAAGAAATGCAAACAATTAACAAAAATCCTATAAAAATTGCAAACAATTGGAAAAAAACTATTTCTTTAATTTGTAGGAGTATTTCACATAGGACAAAATTCACGTGTTCACATGTGTTGTTGAAGAAATTCGGAGAATACCTATCAAAGGAAGCTATGATATGGTATCACAATTTACTCGCTAATTCTATTGACTCATTTGCTATGCTTGCAGACTCTTTTGTGAAAGCACATGCTGGGGCTATCAAGGTCGAAAATAGGAAGTCGACCTCATCAAAGTAAGAAAAAAGGATAATGAAATGCTCAGAGAGTTCGTATCTTGGTTTCAAATGGAACAGATGGACCTGCCACCGGTCGCTGATGATTGGGCAGTTCAAGCTTTTACCTAAGGACACAATGTTCGAAGTTTGGTGGCTTCACAGCAGTTGAAGCAGAATCTGAAAGAACATCCGGCTATCACTTGGGCTGATGTGCATAACCAATGTCAATCAAAGATTAGAGTCGAAGATGATCAACTAGGGGCTCCTTCCGGGTCCGTTTACCCTGTTAGACCCATCGACAGAGTCAAGAGAGATATCGATCGTGAACCAATGTCGAACAGGGATCTGTATCAGCCGTACAATGAGGATCGAAGAAGCAGTGGGTACGGACGGGGTTCTATGCAAAATGAAAGGAGAAGTGATCGAGGCAAGAGCAGTCGGGGACTCATGAGCAAGAACGGTTTCGACAAGCCTATCGGACCTAAAGAAGCACCGAGGTTATAAGAATATAACTTTAACGTTGATGTTGCTGCCATCATATCGGATATCAGACGCATCAAAGATACCAAATGGCCTCGACCTATACAGTTCGACCTAGCCCAAAGGGATCCAAACCAGATATGCAAATATCATGGCACTCATGGCCACAGAACAGAGGATTGTCGACAGTTGAGGGAGGAGGTAGCCCGGTTATTTAACAACTGGCATCTTCGAGAATTCCTGAGTGACTGAGCCATGAATCATCTCATAAATAGGGACTCTAATAAACAAATTGCGCAAGAAGAACCTCAGAACGTCATTCAAATGATCATCGGCTCGATGTTCCTCAAGGTCCAATGTTAAAGCGCACCAAAGTATCCATTACGAGGGAAAAACGGTCTCGAGATTACATACCAGAAGGGACTTTATCTTTCAGCGATGAAGACACAGACGGAATCATGCAACCCCACAGCGATGCACTGGTAATATCTGTACTCATGAATAAATCTCGAGTTAAACGTGTGTTAATTGATCCAGGTAGCTCGGCCAACATCATTCGATCAAGGGTCGTATAACAACTCAGCCTACAAGACCAAATCGTGCCAGCAGCCCGAGTGCTAACTAGATTCAACATGGCATGTGAAACTACTAAGGAGAAATAACATTACCAGTAAATGCCATCGGGACCATCCAGGAAACCAAGTTTTATGTGATTGAGGGGGATATGAGGTATAACGCCATGTTCGGAGGCCATGGATCCACAACATGAGGGCAGTTGACTCTTCACCAATTATTAAAGTTCCCGACGCCAAGAGGGATTAAAATGATCTACAGGGAGCAACCGGCCGCAAAGGAAATGTTTGTAGTCGAAAAAGTGATTCCGATATCAACACTGGAGACATCAAAGGTACCGAGTTCGGATACAAAGAAGGAAGCTAAATAGTAATTATCGACACCAGCCACTATCCAATCGGATGAACAGGGTTCCCAGATATTTTATAGTCCCCGGTGATTCTGATACTACAAAATCAACGGTCGAAGAACTGGAACAAGTCACATTGATTGAACATCTACCCGATCGGAAGGTATACCTGGGCATGGGGTTAACCCCCGAGCTTAGGAAAAAACTCATTCAATTTCTTATAGCTAGCATAGATTGTTTTGCATTGTTATGGCAGGTGTTACAAGGCCAATTCTAACACAATTGACACTGCACGACAATAGCCAAACTTTCAGCCACTCAGCCTTACTTTTTTCGCACACAGCCTAACACTTAAAATTATTCAGATTTAGCCAAACGTAGCAACACACAGAATTACGGGTAAAATCACCCAACCTTTATTATTCTCGCAGAATACAAAAAAACTCAGTTTGGAAAGGCTCATATATGTTACTTGCCTTAATTCCAAACGAGATACACACATAAAAGGGGACTGCCTATGGCAGTTTTACAAAGGGGCAGTTAGGGGCAGTTATACAATGTGTCTTGCACATGACAGGCCTAAAAACAAGCACAACCAATCTGTTTGAATTTGAATTCAAACCCTTCCCACGAATTTGGAGTTGTCTTCAGCATTTTAGCCAACTGCACATGTGCTTTGCATATGCCTTTAACTTCCAAAGCACATGCATAGCACACCTCTTCAGTCACATGACTTGCACACTTCTTTTCCAACTTTTGCCCATACTTAGTCTTCATGTCTTGACTTGTTCTTGGACCATGCCTCGCCCATAAGCTCATGACCACGTCTTTCCACAAACTTAGTCATCCCACTGATCCGCATGCATGCCTTATCCAAGTGTCATGCGCCTTCATTTGCCATAGACGTTGCCCACAATCAAGCTGCCTTGCCAACACTCAAGACACCTTACCTAGCTAACTTGTTTAAGTCCATGCACTAACTTAGACAAACCTTCAGCCCTGCACATTGCTTGCCAACACCAGGACAAATCTATGCCAAGGGGCAATGTACAAGCCCTTGACATAGATTCTGCCCGACATCTGTCAAGTCTCAATATTAGGGGCTAACAAATCACCCCCACTAGTTGAACTCGATGCCCTCGTCAAGTCTGATTTCAAGTAGTCCTCAATTTGCTCTTCGAATTGCCATAATGAATACCCTTCTCCCAAGTTGCATCTGCCTCGGGCTTGCCTTTCCACTAAATCAAGAATTTTGTCCGCTTATTCTTTTTGTGCATCCCAAGTACCTGGTGGTCCAAAATATTTTCAATCCGAGTGCGCACTTCAGGAGGAGCTCTCTTGATTTTATGCCTGTCCGGATCTTCAGGATCTTCAACATAAGGCCTCAAAACACTCACATGGAAAGTTGGGTGTATCTTCATTCTTTCTGGCAGCTTCAAACGGTAAGAAACTTCACCCACCTTTTCAATAACTTCAAAGGGACCATCAAATCTTGAAACCGGTGCTCTATGCCTTACTCTGCTATCAATCTTTTTCCAGATTTGAGGAGTAAGCTTCAACCACACTTTGTCGCCCACTTTGAACTCCAATGGACGCCTATTCCGGTCAGCATATTTTTTCATCCATTTCTGTGCCTTATTCAAACTATCTGTTGCTTCTTCCATCATGGCTTGTCGATCCACACCATAGCAATAGGCAGTTAGACACTTCCCTCCAGTTTTCTATTGTGCAATCGCCGTTGGTAGTTTAGGCTGTTTCCCCAAAACAGTCTCGAATGGACTCATCTCTGTTGTCGAAGACTTGTGTAAATTATAGGAGAATTGTGCACAGTCTAATAAATCTGTCCAATTTTGCTGACTGGCAGTCACGAAATGCCTTAAGTATTCTTCCAGCAAATGATTTATTCTTTCGGTTTGGCCATAAAGATTCGGGCGTTGCCTGATAGGTCTTATGCCCCCGACCTCCGGTAGCCCGGACCATCTGAGTTTATTTTCAGACGGTAGTTCCCAAGTGATAGTGATTTGTTCGAACTTGAATTAAGATGGCCCTTGGCCTCGATACCTTTAGGGGATCTGATGTAGGAAATTCCTTGAGAAATGCAATTTTTTTTAAAAGGACAAAATATTTATCCACAAGGGAGAGAATTCTTTTTATTCTTGTGTAAAATAGTTATACATGCGTATATGCTTTGTGCTAGGGCTTGAGCAATCTGTACGGGCACAGTTCATTTGACTGTTTGGCCCTTACAATAAATATTACCTATCGAGACCCTTCCATCACAAAGTTTCTTTCCTTGCTAAAGTCGATATCCGAGGGTAATGCCCCCTAGCATTCGAGGTTGATCACAGAGCGAAGCCTCTAATACTATTGATGCGATCCTTAACACTGATTCATGCCCACTCGGGGACTGTTATCCTAGTCAAGCCCGGATAACTCAGAGCGACTAGTCCAGTGGGCGACACCCGAACTAAAAAGGCCACGGCAAAATTAAAATGGCTCGGAGACGTCCGATGACCCGTAATAGAAATAACAAGGCCTTAAAATTTCTAAATTGGTTCTAAAGTCTACCCTCGGCAGACTGTGACATAAAAAATAGTCTAAGTACTTGGGGGAAATAAACTTTCGGTCACACCGAACCCCCAGGATGCCTTAAAACGAAATAAAGTTAAAGGCAAGGTTTTTTTTTGAGTTTCTGAACAAAACCTAACTGCTTCATGCTAAGGCATTTAGATCTTTGCAAATAAAAGTACTTAAGGCAAAGTGAAATATCGAAAGCTGTTGAAGGGAAAAAGCCTTATATTCATAATCAAAAATTCTTTTTATAAGGGCCAAACAGCCCGATGAAAATTTTTACAAAGGCCGAACGGCCTCAACAAAAATACAAAAAAATAAAAACATCTAAAGGACTAAGTGGCCTAGTCTTCGTGGGGGGAAACATCATCATCTTCGGGATCCTCGCCATCCTCGGACTCGCCCAAGTCTTCGGGCTCCTCATCATCATCGGGATAGGCTAATTTTTTTCCGGCTTCGTGCTCTTTGGCGCTCTCAATCTCAGCCGATAAGTCAAAACCCCAAGCATGAATTTCTTCAAGGGCCTCCCTTCGAGATTGCCACTTAGCATGCTCGATGATGTCTTTTGCTCGAACCTGAGCCACCTCGGCATCGGCCTTATAAACGGCCACCATCTTATCAGCATTGACCTTGATTGCTTTGGACTCCGACTTGACCACTTCAAGCTCCGTGGCGAGATTGCCTCGATCAGAGATGGCCGAATTCAACTGGGACTGGAGCTCCTCGATCTTCTTAGCCTGCACCTAGGACTTCTCCTTTATACCTCGGAGCTGGACCTCAGCCGAAGTCAGTTGGGCCCGGGCGGTCTCCTGGCCAGGCGGTCCAAATTTTTTCCATTCTTCGGCCTCGGCCTTTACCATATCCACTTCTGCCTGGAGTTGTCTGATCTGGTCAAGCTTCTGTTGCACCTGCGGGTTCGGACCTTTAGCCACCATATCCGACTCATCGTCACTAACCTCAAAAACCATTCATACCTAATCGACCAGGTACGTATGATCCTTCCGAGCAGCCTCCAGCTCAGCCTGAAGTATCTTGATCTTCCCCTAACATTGCTCACTAAGAAGTTTGTAAGAATCCCTCTTCTCAATGAGCTCTGGGGTCTCGGCCTCATGCTGGTTTAACTCTTCTTGATATAGGAGAAAAGTCTAGTGATAAAGCACCGCGGCCTACAAATACAAAGGAAAAAGTTACAATCTTTTATGACTTAATCTAAGTACATAACAAAAGTCGTCAAGAGGCATTCGAAGTTACCCGGTTTAACGCATGTCAGGCTTGGTTGAACAGGCAGGGTGCTTCTACCCCGTTCATCTTTGCTTGATCCTCTTCGGTCACCAGGCACTGAAGATAACTTGCAATCCCCATGAGGTCAAAGAAGAACCCGACATCCTCCAGAATAGACAATATGATCAACACTCGGAGCTGGAAATCGGTTTGCTAGTTTCAAGCTCGAAGAAGGCATACTGGTTCCTGAAGATGGTCTCTTATTTGGTACCTGTAAATCACCCAACCAGGTGATGTCTTTCGAAGTGGTAGAATCTAAACCCTCCAAGAAGTGGTCGAAAGGGTCTGCCACCCCTTGGGGGTCCTCAGTTGGGCGTCCCTTTAGCACGTGAGCATCATGGATCACGGAATCGGTGAACAGAGGCGACTCGGAGAGGTCTATTACCCCAAGTCGACCCTTTGGGGCATTATCTTCTGCCCAAAGAGCATCGGCCGCAGCCTCTGTGCCAGCCTCCCTAACTTGGGGCAAAACGGCTTC